ATTTTCGTTACCCATTAGCCAAATTTTTAAATGAATTCTGCTTGTGTTTTAGAAACATGATCTGGCTCTTGACTTCACTGTGACTCCTTGTCAGTTTATCTCACATTTATGATTATGTTTTAATTAAGAGACGTTATATATTTTATGCAGTATAATATCCCTGAGGTCTTTTCACATGAACCCTATTAGATATCAGAGTAAATGCTATTACTTGCAGAAATATTGAGATCTGTGTTGAAGTATTGTTTACATTTCATCAAGACAATGTCTGGGTGTCGTGTATTGCACAGAGTGTTTGCATTCCGTGTGTTAGAAATCCTGAGCTGTCTTTGCTTGTTTGCTTCATGGGGGGCAGCCTTGTCTTCATGAAGAAAATTGAATGCCACTGAATGACACACTTTAAGTCAAGATAGCATTAACATCCTACACAAGTTCTATTTAAAGATTATTAATGTTTTTAATAAAGTTCATTGGGCTTTATGCAATAAATTGATGACAGCTGCTGATACAGAGTTAGAATTTCCTTGGTATGAGAGAATACATATGAAATAGACTTGCAGGATAGTAACATAATTTCACTCACTTTTTCTGCCTTCCTATTGCTTCCATGTACTTCTCCTGTCCAAGGGGTTATTGAAGCATTCAGAAGTCCCCATGCTATGGGACAGTTGTGCTCTCAGGTTTTTAGGTTGATCTGGGCAGTGTGTTGTACCTGGCTCATGGATGAGTGGTGCTGAGGCAAATGGCCCAGTGTTAACAGTGTCCTTAGCAAGTTATTTTGGGGAGGATTAAACATCAGAAGTCAGTGCTAGGACAGCAACTCTGCTTCTCCAACACACAGCTTCACAACACAACTTGACATTATGTGACTTTTCTTTACTGTCTTTAATAAAAATGTGAAAGCAGCCCACTTTACATGGCGCTCCCTAAAGCACACAAAGTATTTCTCAATGTTGGATTGATGTTAAACAGTTGATGTTCATGGAATTTCCAGACTTTACAAAACCAGGCCCAGAGTAATGATATATTTTAAATAGCATATTCCAGGTACTCCCATAATATCTCCAGGAAGAAGATTTTGTTCTTCAGCAGTAATAATATTATCTTTAAAAATATGACTTTAATTTGGAATTCATTCCAGTGGTAGTAAGTGGTTTAAACCCCCATCTGCAAAATAATGTCATTTCTAGTAATGCCTAATTAATGTCAGTCTTTCCTTATCAGCTTGTTTTCATATGCTGCCAAAAACCTAAGCAAGCATGGAAATAATTGTATTTCAATCCCCTTCCTCCTTGCCAATGCAACATGGACACATTGTAACATGGAGTACTCTTCTGACAAAGTCTGAGGAGGGGAAAATCCCCAGTTCCCCTGCCAGGAACCTTCTAAGTTAGATTGTCTGTATAATGCTTTCCATGATCCCCCAAACCCTGTATTTGTAATGAAGGGAAGAGGGAGTGGTAAGCTCTAGGGCATTTGTCCCTTCTTCCTCCTGTCATCAGCTGTATATGTTTGCAAGGAAAACTGAACTGCAGTTACCAATATTTTGCTTTGGGGTTCTTCTGTTTTCAGGAAGCCAGTGACTATCCCGTAATGACAATTGTAGACAACATCCTGTCCATTCTAAAATATTGTTTTCTATTCCAAAACAGGCAGGTCACTGGATTAATTTTTCAGCTGATTTGCACAATTGGTAAAAACAGTGCATATTTTTTCCTACATGATACTTTTAATTTATTGAAAGAGTAGATTTTTTTTTTTCTATAGTGCTAGTTCATATGACCAAAAAAAAAACGTGGCCACACCATTCATTAGGGTTTTCACTGACTGTAAACTTAAGAATGTATCTCTTAGTCAAAAAATAGAAATTCTGAGTTTAGGTTTGGCTCATAAAGGTTCAGGTTTGAAGGCTTGAAGGTTCAGGTTTCACAGATCTCCTAGTTTGTATTAAGAAGTAGTCAAAAACTAATATTCCAAAAGTAAATTATAATTTCCATGAACTTTACTATTGCAGTGCTGTTTATAAGAATCATCTGAGGAAGAAATCATAAGTTTTTAAGCATTAAATTCTTTTTAAGGCAAGAAAATATTATAAAAGTCCTTTTACTATCCTTCTGCATCGATGAGGGAGGCACAATGCTTATGATGGCTATAATTCATGTGCATGTCTGAGGATTTTTGTCTTTATGCTAAAAGTATTTTCAATTCAGAGCAATTTCCTTCTGCATGCAAAGGCCATTTGGGTTACGTTTATCAAACTAAAGGCTTTGGCTATAGCACATATATATATATATATATATATATTTATATAAATATATTTATATATATATATATATGTATATATACACTCACACATATACTTATGGCATCTCATTTCTGGCCTGTCCCCATTTTATTGAGCTGAAATCAGTAACCACAGCTCTATTTTCCTTTAGTTCTGTGAGCCAGACTGCCTCTGAAGTAAGAGAAGTGCTTTCCCACTCTGGGAGAATGTATTGGTTTGAGAATCACTGGAATGACTGTAAGCCTCCACACCAAGCCTCGGGCTGGTACAGATGTTGCAAAGTCACAGAAGACTCCCTAGAAATATGTGCTCTGTAATTCCAGTATAAAGGAACTGAGTTTTTCATGGAAGTGAGACCTTGAATTGCCAATGCCTCTTCTTCAGGCATCTCATTTTGTAGTTCCTGAAGTCATGCAGAGGTTTAACACCAAATCCAAGAGGCCCAGACTTCCTTCCCACCTCCTTGTAGTCCAGGTGCTGCTGCTTTCTTGCTTGGAGCAGGAAACCAACACAAGCAAGGAAGGCCAGTGACCCTCAAAGGCATGATCTCATTTTCTACTTAACATGTTAACCAGTCCACCTCTTTCAGCTGAGATGATTGAAGAGAATAGCTCAGATAAAAGAAACTCTGTGATCAGGTTCCTCCAGGGATGGACTTCCAGCTGCAGAGGGGGCTGCTCCCCAGGATTGGGCTGGTTGTAGGGAAGGAGCACATTGTACAGGGTTTTGTGCAGCCCATGCTGTGCCATGGGATGCCAAAAGTGGCCAGGTGAGGCAGAGACATTCCTGAAAGCTTGTGTCTCCCTAAGGATGGCCATGCCAGCTCTCGGACCTGGTAGCAGCAGGAGACCTGCAGTCCTGTTGTAGCATCTGTGGGAGGGACAGCACCACTGTACCACCTGCAGAACCAACCCTGAGGGAAGGCTGCAACCTAAATACCTCATCCACAGGGAGCTGGGATGTGGCCAAGTCTGGCCATACCTTAATTCTGCTCTCCTAAGCAGGCAGGTGAATACCTTTCATAGGCATTCACTACTTGTCTCCCTGGGAATATGGCTTTCCTGCATCCCCATTGCCTGCTGAAGGTGACAGGGTGTTCATGTACTCAGAGAGCAACTTCTTGTTTTACTGAGGGTTTTGCTTTTACAGAAACCAAGGATAGCTCCACAGTGGCTTGGGATATCCCAGTGACAAAGGAAAGGTCTGCTGCAAAGGCTGTGTGGGAGGAGAAGCTGTATCAATTTCAGTAATGCTGTCAAGTATTTGTAATGTTAAGTATTACTACAGCATAAGCTCAGAAAATAAAGCAGCTTGCTTTCCATAAATATTCAGAGCCAGGGATTTAAACCTGTATGCAAAATCTATTATTTGAGTTCTGTTTTCTGCTAAAGCCGAATTCACTCAGTGTGGCCCCTTGGCAATGCAAAAATCCCCAAAGGACTACTCCTTACAAATAAGACCACTCCATTGCTTTTATCTGCTGTGATTTTATAGTACATATATTTGAAAGGCTGCTGAGGCAGTGACAAATTGTCAAGGGATAACTGAACCACAAAGGCTGTAGTAATAAAGGAGGACAGAAAAAAATCGAAGCCATAATTCCAAGATTTTCTTGTTATTTGGGAATGTAAGCAAATTTGAATACTACATTAGCATAGTCCCTGTCTAATTTGTTTTTCACTACAGCTTGTTGCAGAGAGCATTCTTTTGTGGTTTGCTCAGTGGGAGGCAGCTGAAAGCATGTTGTTAAAAACCAGAAAAAAAAGACACTTGAAGGACTGCTTTTTCTACACCATCACCACAGTGGAAATGTCTGGTGAAATAGCAGAATGTTTTTAATATAGAGCATTTTCCTGGTAGTCTAGCTGACTAGTTTATATGTAACTATACCAAATATTTAGTACAGCCATATTAAAAGTATCAATTAAGCTTTGAGAATGATGTTTTACATATATACCAGTTTTAATCCAGAAAAACTGCAGATACAGAGATACAGGAGCTGGATTGGTATTTGATCAACTCAATAGACAGACAGACATATATATATATATATATATAAAATTGAGAAATCACATCAATTCTATAATTATAAAAATACATCAGTAAACCATACAGAATTCTTTTATATATAATAAATAATTAAAAAGATCCAAACATGGAACTACCAAAGATACAATCAACTCTTAAATAGCCAGAGATGGCACATTTAAGGTACAGAATAGCCGTACTGCACTGTGCGTAGCTGGTACAGCTGGCTTAGTGTTTCAAACACAAACACCTCTCACATCCAGCTGCATTACATCCATGCTTAGTTCATGTCTGGAAGTTGCCACTTCTGGGCCTTACTGAGTCACTACCAGATCAGAGATAAGTTAGTCTCAGGAGTCCCTCAGTTTTCTCTTCAGCAATGTCTGTTTTGATACCCCTTTATTATAGGGTATACCGATTTTTTATTGCTTTGGCTAAAGAAGAGAGAGAAACCTTGCCTTTTCTATGTTAGATGTTTCAAAGGATATCAGAAAAAACGAAGAATTGGGAATAGATTGAGAGTACATTCAACAGGAGAAAGAGCTGTATTGTTAACTGGTGTGTTCTGTGCTTTTTCTATGCCTGTCATTGTGCTTCACTGTTATTGCCCTTCACAAAAAGGCAGAGTTGCATCTTTTTGTCCCAGCACATAACTGCACATATTTACCGTTTCTTGATCCATTTTTAGACATGAACTTCTGGAAGAGGCTCGGAGGAAAGGTTTGCCTTTTGCACAGTGGGATGGGCCGACGGTGGTTGCCTGGCTAGAGGTAGGTGTTGGCCATAACTTGAAAATGTGAGTCACATTTGTGGATTGCTTCTGTGTCCTTACAAATCTTAAAAGAGACTGTTACAGCCTCTTCCTCTCCTGCTATGCGCTGTGCCATCAGCACTACGTGGGCTTTGACACTGGATGGTGTAAATTAGAGCCTAGAGCTGAAAAAAGTAAGTCAGAATTGCACAGTGGGATGAGGACCAGAAATGCGCTTGAATCCCAAAGTTTTTAAATCATTGAATTACTCAGCCTCTAAATGTCTAGGAACTCCACAGATATTTTTTGTAGAATGATTTGCTAATTTTAAATAAATGTGAAGAATTTGTAGCTTTCTGCATTTTAAAAACACAATGGGGAAAAAAGAGTTCCCCTCACCATTTTCACTTGCAGTGTGGGAGACCCAGGTTGAAATCTCCGATTTGATAGGCAGTGCCCTCCTATCTGAACTCCAATGCGCAGAGAGCTGTCCTTTAGGTACTTTGGAGGACCTAAACGAGTGGGGGGTTTTGGAAATCAAGAAGAAAAAAACATTCAGCAGAGCTGTCATCAATTTTGACAAAGTAATCAATGAATGTTTTAGGTGAAGGAACTACTCAAAAAAAACCGTACACAGATGCTGAGGGGAGAAGGCTGCAGAAAGAATGATCCTATACAAATCCACAGTCACTTTTATTTAGCAAGGCTGAAACACTTCAGTGCAGATACAAACTCTTTGTTGGCTCAAAGAACAAGTCTATTCCTTACTATACCATGCATCTCTACCTATTCACAACTTTCTCCTGCCTGCTCTAGCTATCATCCATTGATCATCAGTTAGACTTTGTGAAGTTTTCCTCTGCAATAGAAGAAGGAGATCACTCTCCAAACCTTTGACAGAAATAAGCCAGTGAATAAATTAAAGATGAGAAAAGAAAGCAGCTAGTGTGCACAAAATTTCAGCTTCACATTGGAATTGCTGAGGGTACCTAATGAAAAATACCAAATGAAAACTGCCAAAAGTCAATGCAAGCATTTGTATATGATCTTTGAAAATAGGATTATATCCTCATTCCCAAAAAATCTCTGTTAATATGGAACAATCCTTTATTTGGCCACTACTTTGCTTTGTCATACGACTTTAGGAGTTCTGTAACCAGATTTATATCAGTCAGAAATACTTAGAATTACAGTAAAGGCTGATTTGCTGGAGACATGGACATACAAAAGTCTGTAATTTCTGCATACCAATACCCTCATATTTCAAGGAGATCTGCAGTTTCAAGCAGTTTTTGACAAGTTAAGCCTTACTTTTTTTTCCCCTTGATTCTTCCCTGAAAAATAGGATATGCTTCCCACTGCCTAAGAGAGGGGCTGTAAAGAGAAATCAGGATCTGTGAAGTTCTTGGAGAATATGATGACAGTAGCACAGGAGAGCTCAACAGGAAGTTTAGGTCACAGTAGTAAGTGCAGATCGAAAACTGATGGCAAAAATATATAAGGATAGGACTAGTGTGTTTATTCTGTAAGCATCAGTACATTTCGTATTCTCCTAAAGAAAAATACGTGTCACTTCAACTACAGAATAAAGCAAATATTAAAGGAGAAAAATACTCACAATTTAGAAGTATATTATGAAATTTTCAAACTTCATAGGGCTTTTCAGCCTTAGCATTTATTCTTGTCGTTTGTAAGTAGCACAGACATAGTTGAGAAATAATTTAAGAATTTTGTGTTTTCTTAATTCTGGAAACGTATGTTGCTCTCAATATCTGAGTTCTCTGTCTAGAATTATTTCTGTCTTCTCTTTTTAGAGACTGTTCATGTAACATCGTTTTCTGCTAGACAGCTATTTTGTTAAAGAATTTACTTATTTTGTTAAAGAAATAATTTACCTAATGAGCAGCAAACAGTTTATTTCTGCAGGGTGAATAATTCCCGGTGTTTGTGCTTTTCTACTTTCCAAGTGTATGTGTGAAAAAAATTAATGTTAAAGTAAATGAGGTGATGAAATACATTTTAAAGCTATGCATTGTTTTTTCATGGCCGTTTAAGTGCAGCTGGGTGTTATCTACATTATTTTTGAGTTTTGTTTTTTGGTTTTTTTCTTTCATGAAACTTTGTATTTTGTAACAGTTTGTTGGAATCAGATCATGTTTTCAGGTTCAGACTAGCAATGGATGGATGGTAGTGTCTAATCCCATCTGTGGGAAGGACTCAAACAATGCAGTCATGTCTCAACCTCTGTGGTACTTCAGGACTCAAAGCCTGACTGAGCCTTCTGCAACTTGACAGTCAAGTCTGTTTTCCCTGTGACAGGGAAAGTGATCTAACAGCTGTCTTTTATGGAAATATTTCCCAGATAAAGTATAAACCTCCTAAGAACCACACACTTCTTCCCCCTATTGTGTCAAATGAAATGAAAATCCTTTCAATTCATCAATGCTTTCCACATTTTTTGGTGAATTTCTTCATTTCCTGGACCTTGTGTCCTCTTTTAGTAAGCCTTTATTAAGAGAAAAAACAAAAGACAGCCAATGGAATCAGCTAATTCTGATGGCCTATTTGATATGCACATAGCTAAGTGAATTTGTTTTCCATTATGTTATCCCTAAAATCTCAGGGATTATGGCATTCCCTGCTTATGTTCTCCTCACAGTCTTTGCTAAGCATAATGTACTTCACACCATGATTAAAAACCTCACATGTGTGATATGAAATTACCTCCTTTGGGAAAAAAGAGCTGTAGACACTGATATTCATGTTAATGAGGCAGCATAAAATGAGAAAGCTGAGAAAAACAAGAGTAATTCACACTCAGTAGGTCCAAATTTACTGTAAAGTCTGTCTCTGATTATTTGAACTGGACTTGGTTAATTTCTACTCAGAAGATAAAAGCTAAGAAATGTAAGATTGTGTGTCTTGGGTACACCATGTTAAAAAAGAAAAAGTCAAATTTTAGTACAAAAGTGCAAAAATTACTTAATTCCTCTTAGATGATTTTCTGTACATAATCTTACCAGATAGGCGGTAACATTGACTTGTGCCAGTACTTGGTCATTAAAACCTGGGAAAGGAGTAGTCCAGGCAATGGAGGCAGCTCTAAAAATAATTCAAAGCATGCCTTGCTTTAAAGTTCTGATTACAGTAAAAGCAAAAAAGAATTCACATGAAATCATGGCAGTTTCAAAGGTTCTGAAACAATTTTGTTCTGTTAGAGATTATGATATTCATACTTATTTGTGTGTGTTATCATGCTTATTCGGACTGATAGGTGTCCTGACAAATTAATTGTTTGTTATTGGTCATTAATTAATTGGTTATTAGTGGTCATGACACCAAGTCTGACAGTCTAAGAAGCTTTTGGACAACGCTCTTGGCACATGATGTGATCCTTGAGGCTGTTCTGTGCAGAGCCAAGAGTTGGACTTGACTGTGCCAGTGGGTCCCTTCCAGCTGAGGATATTCTATGATTGTAATTTCATTTGGGAGATGAAGCAGTGCTTTGGATGAAATGTCCTTTCTCTTGGCAGCTCTGGCTGGGGATGCCAGCCTGGTACGTCGCCGCCTGCCGTGCCAACGTGAAGAGCGGAGCTATCATGTCTGCTTTGTCTGACACTGAGATTCAGAGAGAAATTGGAATCAGCAATCCTCTCCATCGCCTAAAACTCCGATTAGCAATCCAGGAGATGGTGTCATTGACAAGTCCATCAGCACCTCCAACATCCAGAACAGTGAGTCGTGTTCAGCTAACTTTTTCTTCCCACTTCACCCTACAGGTGTCTGCAGAAAAACTTGTGTAGTACCAGAGTGGCTCTGTGATAACACACACTTTACAATCAGAGAAAACTGTCTAATAGAGACTCAGAACTACCTGTTCATCATTTCCTTGATTGTTGATTGCTGATGTTTTTCTTTTATCAGATATTCTTTTTTTTTTAAGTCATTGTTTTGATTATCCTTGATGTTATACAAATTGGTATCAAGCATCTTATTTGTAATTTTGCCCTTATTTTTGCCTTTCTCTTTCTTCAAATCATTTACCAGCCTAATCAGATTGCGTTTCTCTTTTTTGTTTGTTTGTTCTCTTTCTTTATTTCTTTTTTTAGGGTGGAGGGGAGGCAGGTGTTGGGAGAGGTCATGCAGGAACACAGCTCTTTTGAGTCTTTTTCCCATTCCCTCTTTTTGCACCCTTTCAAATGTTATCTAATACAAATGAGCTGGCTTTAGGTTCTTCATGCTTTTAAGAGAAGCAGTGATTGGAAGTGTGAGGGGAGCATCTGGAAAGTGGAAGTGGAGCCTGTACATTGAGTGAGGAAGAGAAAGTGGTGGCAGAAAGGAGGGAAGCAAGTAAAGATACTCAGAGATACAAGTCTGAAAGGAAAGGGGAATATATCAAAAAGAGCAAGGAAATAGATCAGGGGAGAGTAAGAATGAATGTGCTATATATAAAAAGCAGGAAAAAATAGGCTAAACTGATGAGGACAAAAAGAAACAAGATAACAAAAGGGAAGTTTTTAATGCTGAGATATGCTGATGGCAATGGAGATGCAAGAAGCAATGGAGACTAACAAAAACGGGGATCAGATGGTAAACATGGCACAGAAGTGAAGGACAAAGACTACTACTCAACTGGTGTAAGTCAGATTTCTACTAGAAAGGCCATAATAATGATTATGTTAATAATATTTCTATTTTGTAATATCTTGTCTTCATTGGAATTATGGAGAATTTTTTGTGGAAATTAGAATTCAGATACCTTTGTGACCTACATAAGTAACTGGGAAGCAGCACTAATGTTGCCATTGATTGCCCTTTTATCTTCATGTTGCTCATGTTCTTTAAATATTGTAGTTTGCTGTCTGATACTTTCTTCCCTGAAAACAGTTTTGTGTGTTGTCATGGTAATATTATGAATTGTAGTGGATTTCACCAAAGTAAAACAGTAAAGATTTAATATGATGTTTGAATTACTACACAAAATTAATTTTGATTTTAAGAGCATAAGAGGACATTTTAAAGCATAAAAGCATTTACACTTATGAAGTGAGGGAATTTTATGTTCAAGCTAAAAACATTGGGAATAGTTTTGCCTTGTTTTTTTAATTCTTCCTGCGTAACTGTGTGCACACAAAGCTGCCCTGCTCTGGAATGTTAATTTCTGAGTCTCCAGTCGTTCTGCTTCCCCTTTTTCTCAGGAAAGGAGTTAATTTATCTCAGGTCTCCAGAAAACACAGCACACATCCTTGCTCCCTCCCTGACTCTCCTCAGTGTCGTAGCAATCATTTTATGAAAAACAATAGGATGAGGATGAATAGTTTTAGAAGTGAATTTTCTTGACATTTTGATTTACAGAAACATGGGAGAAGTATTCATTATTTAGATTACAATATGAGCTTGTGACTTGTGCAGAACATTTAGGCTGGAAAATCTTTGGGAGCTGAAGCTTACCTGTGCACAGAGCTGTGAGCTAAAGGTTGCATTTGCCAGTTGTTTATGAAATGCAGCTTTAACTATGATTCTTTCCTTTGTGGCAGTGCTCTGCCGGATTTCATCCATCAGTTCTAGTTGTAATACTCCACCACATCTGTTCAGAAGCCGCTAATGAAAGATACAAACCAAGTTGTCTAAAGTTGTCTCTAGTTGCAGCTCGGTAGAGGCAAGAACGTGCTTGTGCTGATGGTGATGCGCTGTTAACTTACAGTGGTGCTGCCTTTCTTCTTTACCACTGCTTACCTAATGTGGATCCCACCTGCCCTCCTGCGGGCCTTGTCTGTAGCCCTCAGGCAATGTCTGGGTGACCCACGAAGAAATGGAAAATCTTGCTGCTCCAGCTAAAACGGTTAGTCATTCCACTTCCACTTCTAATGGTTTCAGTGCTCCAAAGAGAATAGGCCTGTTCCTGCTTCAACACAGGTGCCATATCTTCTGTAGGATGCGTCCCAAAGCATGCCATTAGAAAGTTGCAGGGAGTAATGAAATTGAATTTAAAGAACAGTTATATAATTTTTCAGCAAATGGTATTGCCTTCACAAAAATTGCACGACCCTAAAACCAGTATTGGACTTCCAAGAGTATATAATAGTTTCAGAGCCACTGTCAAACCTCATTTAATGAAATGAAATTGTTATGGTTACAGGTACAACATTTCTCCTGTAATCTTCTCCCTCCTCTTCTAAATGGTGTTTTGTATTTGCTGACATAGAAATAAGAAAAGGCTTGAGAATGGTGCATTAAACAACTTCATGTTTTCATTAATGCTGAGTCTTTTTTGTCCATACTTGGGTATTAATGATCTTTGATTTCAGACACACATGGAGAGTGTCATTTATTTATTGATTTTTGTCAAACCTCTCCCTTAACACTAAAGTAAGACTTTTTTTCAATTTGGAATATATGTAATTTTGATTTTGATTGTTAACATTATATCATAACTCTATAAATGTGCTTATGAAAGATGATGCCATGTTCCAGTGAGGTCTCTAAAAAATTATCTTCAGTTTGGCAAACTTTATAGTCATCCCAATCCATAAATGGTGGGAGAGGTTCTGGAGCTAAATTTTGATGCAATAAGGAATTGTTTCTTCAAAGTTTATGCTTTTTATAGTATTTAAAGTTTTTTCATAAGCAGTAAGGAAGCCAATTCTCATAATTGTTTTTTTTTTAGACTGAGCTCATTTCTACTTTTATTATTGTTAATAAAGATAAATGCAAATGTAACAGCACTGAACTGACAAGAAGTAGAGTTGATCCTCTTTAACTGGCCAGCCAGAAAAATAGTTTTTCCATAAAAAATGTTATGTAAAAAGCTCCTTTACAATACCTTCTCAAGAAGACATCTTTTTATTGTTAATGTTTTAAAGTCAAACTAGAAACAAAAAACTACATCCCTAATGCCCAAATTTTTAGGCAAGTGTTTGTGTTTTAATTGTGAAACTGTGAAGAGTGTTTAAATAATGCTGTAAAATTTCACCAAGATATAGTGATTTTGTATCTATTTTATGGTCTTGGTCTTACAATTTTCCAGATAGTTTAGCCCAGGACATTGCCACTGGCCAGTTATTTTATTTGTGCACTTTATGTGAATATTTTCATTTTCATTAACATGCATATGAAAATCACATCTTTTTATGACTAATTTTTATTGTCTTTTTATCTGCTTTACTAATTGCTTCCTGCTGATAATACAGAAGGAGTCTGAAGAAGGCAGTTGGGCTCAGGTATGATCTTTCATGTGACTTTTTAAAATTGAATGTTGATAATAATGTAATCGGCTGCATCAATATGCATAGTGGAATATAATATTGTGACAGTATTTCAGTGACTGAACTATGATTTACATATTTTAGAGTTCATATCTTAGAGAATATATTCTCTGGACAGTTTTTTTAGGTAAAGCAAAAATAGGTACATATATCGTGAATATTTTTCACAAAAGATATTACTACATTCCAGGGACATATTCTATCTCCCATCTAAAGCTGTGTTAAGAATTTTAGAGAGTAAGCATTTTCCTCATTTTTCAGAATAGGACAGTAAAATATGCCATGAATTTGAGAGCTAACTTTTCTAAAATCACACCAAATTTTTTTTAGAACAATTGTATAAATCACACCCAAGTTATCAGCCTACAAATACTGTCATATATTTTATTTAAAACTGCCAATTAGCTATATTTTTTAACTTTTTCTCTCTAATATATGCACACTTACACGATCTTGCTGTCTTTACTGATGACATTCCTTTTCTCTTCAAAATCTAACAAGAATGAGTTGTAAGGGGAGTATATTTTCCCTCATAGATAATATATCCATCCAGCATTTATTGTGTTATTCATTTATTTATGACATTAAAAACAAAATCAAAGATGTAGTTAGGCTTGAAAATGATTCTGAGCATGATCCTGTTTAGTTAGTATAAATTTTGCAATTTGTTAGTTTTCTATTTTGTCATACAAAATAATTTAAAAAAGTGAGATGTAAAAATCTATTTTGCATCTTAATAGGGAAGCTCATATAAAAATAGCTCCATATGCATGGCTCTTTCCCTTCCTCACCCTAGTGAAATTTTAGCTGAACAATGAAGCCTGGGTACAAGTTTCTAGGAGGAGCCTGGTTTGCTTCTATCTCGATTAATTTCTTGAGCTCTACATTTGATGGATTTAGGTTTAAACTGTTCACAGCTGAAAATATCTCATTTAAATGTAAGCCTGAGTGCCAAACAACTTAAATTAACTTTTACTCTCTAAAGGATTTCAGGTGTGTATCTATGAAGTGTCATTGGCTATTTATGAAATTCTTCTCCCCACAACCAGAAACAAGCCTTAGTGGATTACCTGGAGCCATGTTTGTATTACCAGTTACCAGTTCAGTTCTGGCATAAATATTCCAGAAGGTCAATTGAAAACAAGTAGGATTATGAAACACACATATTTTGATTGTGTAACAAGTCTGCTTGCATTTAAAACTCAAAATTGAAAAAAATTCCTTAAAACTTACATAATAAAACAAGATATAACAGGCAAAACTGCTATCTGTAACAAATATCTCACAGTGGTTTTTCCCTCTTCCAGTGTTAAAGCAAAGCAAAACCAGAATTGCTAATTTTTTTAGACGTAATTTTTTTTCCAACATAATTTTTTTCTTTGAGACATATTTTGTTTTCAGTCTGTGGTGCAGTCTTGAACAAACTCAGGAATTTTTCCCCCTCTCCGTTTTCCTCTCTCTGTAGACCCTGGCTTATGGTGACATGAACCATGAGTGGATAGGTAATGAATGGCTGCCCAGCCTGGGCTTACCTCAGTACCGGAGTTATTTCATGGAATGCCTGGTAGATGCGAGGATGTTGGACCACCTGACAAAGAAAGATCTGCGCGTGCACCTCAAAATGGTGGACAGTTTCCATCGGTACGTGGGCCTAAAAACTACATCCGTAAAAACGCTTTTGAGTCTGTTCTAGTGCTCAGTGCTGCTCAGAATAAAACCACTTTCTGTTGTTTTAGTGAGGAAAAACATACAGAAAAGAGTGGGCTGACTGTCAGAAATCTGAATTCAGAGAGATTCCTTTAGTAATAGCAACCACATTGCAATTATGTCTCTAAAAACCAAGATACTGGTACAGATAAATTTTGTAACGAGCAGGGAACCATTAATATGTCAATAGACTCTAGACAATACAGAAACAGTAATAATTTGAGTGGTGTGAAGTATCAGAAAGTGCTAGGCTAAGCTTCAAAGCCCTGAGATCTCATAATAATGAAAAGCTATTGTGTGTAGCACATAAAAGCTGTTAACAATACAAGCAATTTGACAGTTGTTGGGTTACCTAGGGATATAGCTAGGAAGTTAAATTGGAAATATGGAAATAAAGGCATTTAAACTTTAGGGAGAATGAGGTTTATGTGACAGGAAGTGGATTTCTTTTTAATATAATGTCTGATTTGTCACTTTTTAAAAGCCTGATTTGACAAAACATTTCACAGCTCACAAGGGCTGGCCTTTTCAGATCTTTTACCTCTTTCAATGCTTTGGGTTTCTTATGCTAAAACAGTTACTCAAACATACTCATTTTGTTTTTTCCCATTTCATTCCTGAAGTCTGTGGAATTTTTGTACCCTCTGTTTTCAAGATTTCGTACATGGGTACTATGAAACACCTCATGTGAATTTCAGGAAATACATCCTACATATGTTCCCATCTTCAAAATTATCTTTATTAACTCTGTAAATGTTTCTCTTTAAATAACAGAACAAGCTTGCAATATGGAATCATGTGTTTAAAGAGGTTGAATTATGATAGAAAAGAACTGGAAAAGCGAAGAGAAATGAGTCAGCATGAAATAAAAGGTGATAGTTCCTGGGAATGAATACTGGGAATGTTTCTTCTTTTGAAGCTTGACACTGTTAATCCACTGTCATGCCATTTAAGCAAAACATTTAAGCATGTGCTTTAAGCAAAACTAACATAAGTCCATTTTTTTTCAGAACAAATCCTAAATTAAATTGGGCACAGTTAAGTACTTTGCTGAATCGGGGCTGCAATTCTGAATGGTGGTTTCACACATACATTTTGCTAAATGGAGTTTTGGATATGGATCTTATCTGAACCTTTTTCAGGCTCAGAAGCACAAGGCCAAACGGTGTGCAGCTCAGTGGGATGTGCTGGGGGCAACGCTAAAAAATGGGAGCACTCAGGACCCTATGCCCCAGCTTTTGAAAACCTTTGCCTTTAATTTCTTATGTCAAAATGTATCATAGAAAATGCTGCTTGGAGGGTTGACCACTGAGGCAATTGATTGGTGCATAAGAATAGTTCCTAACAAAACTGGCCTTATTAGAAGATTTCACAGCTGATTCTGAAGATTTTTTTTTTCTGTGTAAAGCTCTCTAGAGCAGTTGCAGCTCACTGCATGGTTCTTTTTATATATAACAATTAGGCTGGCTGGGTTTTTTTCAACTATCAGAAATGAATCCTTTGATTCCTTTGAGCTTTTCCAGCTCTAGTGACTACAGCAGTTAGCAGTTCTCAAGGACAATGCTGATCAGAAGAGCTAAAAAAAAAAAGTTGTGCATTTGTTCCAGGCACATCATGGCATGCACTAATGCAAAGACTTTGCCTTGGACATGCAGGGTCAGTGCCAGTCAGCCCAAGTGGGTCTAGCTGGAGAGAGACATAGGGGAATTGGGCGTTGGTCTCAAATTCTAGTGTGGCTTCAGTGCTAGTGGCTTCAGTTCCTTCTAGGACAAGGGTAATAATGACCGTCATGCATTGGTCAGTTATTCATGGTCCCAGGTGGGATTTGGTCTCTGCCTGCCACTGTGTTTCAGCTGATCCTGACCCCAAAAAGCGAGATGCTCTCAGCCAGGCAATGGAGAAATCCTGCTCCCAGAACAGCCACAGCAGCTGGACTTGTAAAGGTTCAGGAATAAGCTCATCACTTAGTAAAGAAAACTCAGTACTATGTTTCCCACTTATAACTCTGAAGATTAGTATAAGTAACTTTTTCCTTCACTTTACAGGTAGGGCAGGATACTTTTTCAGAATAGCTAAATCCTCAAAAATGGTTTCCTAGCTGGTTTTGTTGCCTTAGCTTTATAATTGGTATGGACTTTAAAAAATCTAGCAGCTTTCTATACTAAAAATAGTTTGTCTCTGAAATAGTGAACTAATCTTTTACTTTATGTTAGTATGTGATAGGCATGTTAGTATGTGATAGGTGCTGACCCAACTCCCAAAATATTTAATACTCAACTCACATGTGAAGCCTTGAGGAATGGCTACTTCTTCAGTGCCTTTGCACTGTAAAGTCTTGCCTGCAAATTGAAAATGTGTATGTAGGAAGTGGGAAGAATTGCATTATAGAGATCCTTTCCCTCTGAAAGCACATTTCTCCTTTGGAAACATTATTACTTGAAGATAATTAATCACATAGAGTTTTTCAATAGAGCACACTAAAGCTCCATGAATAGTGCTGGCATTTCTCATGAATGAAATAAAGCAGTAAGACATCCACAGTGCATGCACAGCTACACACATGCACCTCTACAATCTGGAAGTTCTCAAGGTATCAGGAGACTGACCTGGTGTTATGTCCTTACAGATGTGCTGGTATGGAGCAATGATCGAGTCATACGCTGGATACAAGCCATTGGCCTCCGAGAATATGCAAATAATATTCTAGAAAGTGGTGTACATGGTTCACTTATAGCACTGGATGAAAATTTTGACTACAGCAGTTTAGCTTTATTATTACAGATTCCAACACAAAACACACAGGTAAATTTGCTTATGCTACTTCTGGTTAATCTGTACCCATTATTACCTTTTATTCATCTTCAACCATTTTAATTGTTTACTTTGGTATCTCTAGGCACGGCAGATCCTTGAGAGGGAATACAACAACCTTTTAGCACTAGGAACTGAAAGACGACTTGAGGAAGTAATTAATTTTATTTTCAGTATTTATAAAATATCATAGTAAAACATTAACATTAAATTGAATGCATGAAGACATGTTAATTTTCACATTGTTAAAGAGAGTCAGTTACAGCTTTAAAAAATTAGAAATACCCATCAAGGTTTTTAAAGTAACTTCAGCTTGGCTACATATTTGTATCATCTTGGATGCTAAATCTGACACTGCACTCTTACCTTAAGATGAAAATTTTCCAGAAAGGAAACATGCAAAATGGAGTGGAAGTTTTGCTGGCCAGAGCAGGTGGTGGGGGATGGGTGTGGGTGGGATGCCTGTGCAGTCTATTCTTTAGGACACTTACACCTTTTTTAAAAATAAAGAAAAGAAGTAGAATTTTCAGTTTGTTCTTTATTGCTTTTTTTCTTCAAAGTTCTTCAAAGTTGATCAATATTAATAGAGTGCGATTTGGGGCAGTTATCTGGGAAGAGGAATCTCAAATCCAACTATGGAAATTATTTATCTTAACATAAGAGTCCAGTGCAAAAATGTTTAAGTCTTGGACTTCGGCACATAAAGAGAAATAAAACTTTTAAGGATTTGCTGAAAATGTCAGATGCCTATGAATTCTGTGCATGCACATGAGTGTTTAATCGTTTTTTAATACTTTATATAAGCTTCCTAATGCAGTAATAAATCAGTTTCTGTCACTGTGTAAGAAAGTTCTATAGAGGTGACACTAAACCCCTTGACTATATCGAGCCAAAGATTTAAGAAGAGTTTTCCACCCCAGCATTTAATATTTCTCAAGCTTTTACTTTTACCAGCACGTCTCAAACACATTACAGTGACTGGATGCAGTGCAACAGGGCAGGGTAGTTGTTATGGAACACATTTGGCAGTGGCAGAGGTAGCACACAGCAGGATGGTAAATCACAAAGCTTTGTTTTGCTTTATCAAACACAACTCTGTTGACAGAGCGATGACAAGAACTTCAGGCGCGGCCCCTCCTGGCGACGGCAGTTCCCACCGCGCGAGGTCCATGGGATCAGCATGATGCCGGGCGCGTCGGAAACGCTGCCCGCCGGATTCCGGCTCACCACCACATCCGGCCAGTCGCGGAAGATGGCCAGTGACGGTATGAACTCATTCCTGCACTTCCTCTTGGAAAGCACCAGGCTTGTCCCAGCATGCCAGGTTTACTTTTAAAGCATGTCTGTCTCGCACCACAACGATTGCGTTCGTTTAACTAGGGTGAACTGAGTCTGGGAGAGTTGAATTAGGGAATGGAAAAGCACTGACTTGGCATATTATTGATTTTTTCAGGTTTGCTTCAGACAAACAGTGTTTATTTAAAACACAAAAAAATTCTGATCTCACTATCCTACAGCTGTAAAGGAAACAATCAGAAAGACTGGAATTAATTTACTAACTTTCAACTAGACTGAATATAATATCTAAGCAAATTTTTCATCCTATTAGCCTCTCTCGCAGGTGGAGTGTTTTAGAGAATGCAATTAGAAAGGGCTATTACCTTTATTTTCCTATCTTACTTTCAAATTAAATAGCTTACCCTTGACCATCAAATAACTGAAGTTGCTAACAGTCACCAGCAGATGACTAGTTAGCAAATGCTGAAATTCAGGCACTAATTGAGTTACTATATACCAGTCCTAATTTTCTCTGGAAATCTTTTGATTTCCAAAAGATGCACAAACTCAGAAATTAGTGGAAAATTAGCAAGCAGATCATAATTAAAAAGTAAATAAAATTTAAAAATCATTGTAAGAGAGCAGGAAGAGGAAATAAATCCCATCACAGCTATTTCTTCAGGTTTATGGAAGATAAAGCCAAGTATACCTGCCTGAAGTTCTGAGAAATATTAGTACAAAAACTGCCCCATTTAAAATACCGCCATTTATTTAATCATGACAGGATTCAGTCTACAAATAGACTTATCTCAAACTTGTAGAGACCTGTAGAGATCACATCCTGTAACTTGATACTGAACTTGGTATGATAGTATTGCCACCTAAATTCCATTAAAGCCATCTAAATTCCATTAGAGTTTCTCACCCTTAAAAACAGTGCTTTATGGTTGCAGTTACACATGGAATAATTTACTGGTAGCATCACTGAATGCCATTGACTCCTAGCTTCCATGGCATTTCCATTGCCCACATTACTGTAATATACAAGAACCCTATAAACATTAAGGGATTTCATATTCTAGTCGTGGTATGACGTAGAAGATGATATTCTGCATTTTACAGATGTGGAACAAAAAGGCAAATCTGCAAAAGGCAATCTGCAAAAGGCAGATTTAGTGATTTACTTGAGGCCTTCCAGACAGTTAATTCTTGAGTCATGTATACTGAACTCAGTAGACTTAAAGGGAAGTAATTTTGAAGACCTGTATCTTCATCCAGGATTTGGCTTCCTATCTCTCAGTAAGAATGCAATAGTATTTAAACAGCATGATAGGTAAGAGCATTAGGAATTACAACAAAATAAAGACAAAATTGAGTTTTAAACTGTATTCCCTTTAGACAGATTCCAGCAGTACATCAGCCATGAAGAAGTGCTGAGTTTTGAACTAGACCATGCTCAGATCACGTTAGAGAAAGCCACAGAGCAATTTAACAGCCACCCTTCCAGTGATAAACAGATTGATATATTTTACTGATGATTCTAAAGAGGCTCTGGTTTGTTTCCTTTTTTTTTTCCTTCCCAATTTGCAGTTGCTTCATCACGACTGCAGAGGTTAGACAGCTCAACAGTTCGCACATACTCATGCTGACAAGGCCTAGCAAAGAAGCCAGCACTGAATTGTTGTGAGTATTCTGTAGGGGCCATCATGAAAGCTCTTTGTGACGGCACTACACCCCACATTATCCAAGCACAGACCAACATGGAGCAGAGGACGTAACTAAGGACTCCCTAGGGCGGTCATTTGGTCATATCAACAGACTGAAGCTCAGGACACTACCAACCATATTTTGGGAAGAAGGCAGAGGGAATGAACTTACTTTATGAGAACTTGGAAGAGTTCTCCTAGGAGCTGGAATGTGGGGCAACACTACTAAAGCAGAAGAGATTTACTTTTTTTTTTTTTTTAAATTAAAGCTACAGCTCAATTTAGAACATCAGGTAGCTGCACAGACTTACCCATACAGAAAATCTTGAAAATTTATCTATCACAGAGATTCCTGCACTTCTCAAATCATTCAGAACTGACAAAGAAAGGATTATTTGAACTGGATGCAACTTTGGATCAAATTTAATAGTAGAATTCATGTTAAATTTTTCACCATATATCTTTTGAGTGGGGTTATGAATATCACAGAGTCACTTTTCCACAGTTCTGTGGAAATACAGTTGTCTATTTTATCCCAGCTTTTGGAAAAAAATACACACACGATGAGTAGTTACATCAATATGGCACCATTTTATGCTAATATTTTCTCACTAAAACAATTTCCATTTAGTTACTTGGGGAATTGCAAGGCAGCTAGAAAAAAATATTTGAATATCACCAAAATCTCATCAGACATCAAATATGCTTCAGTAGCTGTTGGATATTGTAGGCAAGACATGCAAGGATCTGCAAGCAAGTTGCTGGTTTTTTGTTTTGATTCCCAAGACTTGGGGCCATCAAGATTTTACTAATTTTGTGTAGGTTCAAAAAATACTTAGCAATAGTAAACATTAACAGTGGGAAAAGTGGATTGCGCAGGATCCTCCTGATGACGTGAGCCTTACTTCGAAAGATTGCAAGAGTATAAAATCTTCCTCTTAGTAGAAATGGGACCTTTTGAGCCGCCCATGAAGAATAAACTTGCGGGCGGGGTGTGGTTATTTGTTGGTTTTGGTTTGGTTTGGTTTTTCTGAAAAAGCAAAGTTTAGTAGCTGAATCTACAAAGATGATGATGAAGCACATAAACTATAGAAATGTTTTTATGTGTATGCATATATAGATTCGAGCATGGTATTGCATCAGTAAGTCAGTGACAGGACTCTCACAGGGTTCAGTGGTGACAGAAATGGAAGGCAGAGATATGAACCTTTTCTCCTGTGAGCTTCAGAATCACAATGTTGGAACCAATTAAGCATGACCAAGAAGTTCTCTTAGGCCAACAGTAATGGGCCAGGCACTTGAGGTGAGGTTTGAAGAGTGCAGTAAAAGCAGAAATGGAAAACTGACACACTAACAAAAAATAATTTAAGATTATCCAAAGCGTTTATTCCCACTATATGAAAAAATTATCTAAAAAGTAGTAAAGCACAAACAAAAGTAAAGTAGCAGATTTTCTAGCACTATAATGTATGGAAGGTATATATTTTGAGCAAAAAGGTGTGTATATAAAGTTATACAAGCTATACAAGTTAACTTCAATTTCTATTGGGGTATTAGTAGTGTTTCAAGTATCAGTAGTATGTATCACATCAGTACTTGCTGCTTGTCCACTATTCTACTACTTAAATGCTTGAGTGGTCTATAAGGATATCAAATTTACATCTACATGCAAATTTACACCTACATGTAAAGTCTAATACATTAGGTTAACTGACAATAATATTGTAGTATTTCTCTTCTCACTTACCATGTACTCCTTTTAGAGAAGGAACAAGATGATGTGAACTAGAACTTTTTTATATGCACTTACTATAAAGGCAACTTCAAAATGCTATGCAGGTAATAAACCAAAAAGCAAGTTCAAGTGATTTTGATTCTAGTACATTATATTGAAAATCAAACCAACATCCCACCCCTCTACCTCCCCCCAAAAAACAACCATGCAGGGAAAATATTTCCTTCACTATTATATCAAACTTGAAAATTTAAACAAATTGCCTGCAGCTCAAGAATGACAGAAACATATTTCTCATAAACGGAAACTGCCCATAGAGGGAGATATCAGATTGAAGGGCAACAGAGGAGGTTTCAGAATTTTGTCAGAACAGTTCCCGACTAACAGTTTCTTCATGGAAGGAGCTGATTGATACTTGGACAAAAGGGAAGATTATTCATTACAACATACCTCCTGAAATTTTCCAGATCCATCTTAGACAGACACCCAGGCTTTTGTAACACCTCGCCTAGACTACATCAGCAGGTGTATTATCTGCTGTATTATCTCTGGTGAATTATCTGCATGAACAGAAGCAGGAACTAAGCAGCAGAGAGGAGGGATAGCTGGATGAGTTACCACACAATAGCGAGATAAGGGAGTTTTCCATGTAGTAAAGGAGAACATGCCTAGAAAAAGCAGGCCTAAAAGAAAGCAGCAAACAGACTGCACATGGAACAAATGCAGATGGCCTGTGATTACAGCAGGCTGCAGATTCTTGCATTCTGCTACTCTCATGAGAGTAAGAGACATTCACTTACAGAGACTGTCAAAGGCTTGTCCACACAGTTTATGCCAACATCAGTTTGGTACAACTTTCCAGTGTCTGTACTGTGTATGTTCACAGCAGCTGTGTCCTGTTCATATGCTTTCAAACTGCATTTCAGGTGGGTTTTTTTGAATATTTGTTGAAACCATAATGAGCTGCCAGAAACCATGTGCAGACATTCTCAGAACAGTTATATGAGCTTACTCTGCACAGGCCTGTTTTAGCGCACTTGGTATCAGAAATTTAAGAACAATTAAGGCTGCTGGTGCTGGCCATTTAATGTTGCAAAGAAATATACTACAGAGCACATGGGACCCATCAAGCTTTCTGCTGTGGTGGCTAGGATGTGGTGGCCCAGCTGAGCAGCTGCAATGTCTTTACACAGGCAGTGGACTTGGCACTCACATTATCCAAGCTTTCCCAACACTTTTAACTTCTAAAACACTTGTCATTGCCAAGTCAGAAGGGTCATTCAGGAGAGGTTTCTTGCCACAGGCTGGAACAATAGAACATATTACTTCCACTTTTATTCTAATGAAATACTAAAGGAGACTTGGCAAAATCAGTTACGTACTTTACCAATGAAGGGTCTGAAAGACGATTTGTAAAGACAAATGGAGACACAGCATTCCAAATAGATGTAAATGATAACTGGAAGCAGCTAGTCCATAGCAGAGAAACCATCAGGGTGAAAAAGGTAAATGCTGTCAAGCTGCAGTGAACTAGGAAGAAGAGCCACAAAGGACATCAGCAATGTCTGTACACTGAAAATGTGCTTCACATTGTGTCAAACAGGCAAAGGTCTCCAGATGCAGGAAACTAATCCCAGTGCTGCACCAAAACAGCAGGAAAACAACTGTAAAATGAACATAAGCAGCAGACTGTGTTGACTGAGGACAATTACTAAAAGATTAAAATAAATTATTAGTAATTTTATGTAGCAGATCTAAAATTAAACAAACGCATGCCTCCCACAAATACTTGAAATCCATATTTTAGTAACTTAGTTACTAAACTACTTATGGTATATTTTCTGTTGTCATTGAACTTTAGACTGAAATAGAATCATAAAATCTTGCTAATTAATATTTGTTTGGTTTTTTTTCGTAGATGTCATCTCTTTCTTCTACTTTACCTGAAGTGCACTACCAGTACTTAGGAAAAGAGCATTAAAACTCTCTGCAAGAACAGGTTAATAAGGAAGAGAACACATAATGTTTATCATCCAAACAGATATGATGTTCCTTTCATATATTGATTAGTTTAAAACATGAATGAAAAATACCTAAATTACTGAAACAAAAAAAAGAAAAAACAATCTCCCCCTTTTCTCTCAGCATCTCTGTCATCAAAAATTTGACAGTAGTGCACATCCAAAGCTTTTATCAAATGAAGCCACTCATCTTTACATTGTTACATCTGTTTTATTGTAAAATATTAGAAATTTACGTATTTACTGTGTATGTATTTCTTTTAAAATGTGTAAGTCTTATGTAAATGGATATAAATATGATTTTTTAAAAATGAAATCTATGGTACATGGGGTCTCAGTGCAAACATTTGACAATACAGTGTCAATAATACTGTTTGTATCTTTCCATTCCACCATTTTTACAGTTTTTGGATTGTAACAGTCAAATTAATATGTTTAGCAGAGTTAGAAGCTTCAACATGTTCCTACTGAGAAAAATCTGTCAATATTTAAAGCTGAACACCTGCCTCTGATGATGTATAATAGAATGACATAGCCTGGAACTGAAGCCAAAATGGACCTCTAAAGACAAAATGGAAATGTTAGATACCTACAGAGAAGCACCATGATGGCTCACCTCTTAAAAACAAACACATAAATCCAGAAGAACTATTTATAAAAAAATAAAAAGCAATTTAATAAAACATGATTTGTACAAAAAAACCAAAAACTTTCTTCTACGTTACCTGCGGACCAAGAAGAATCTTGCTTTACCAAGAGCCACCTTTTTGTTCCAGGATCTTCAAACACCAGCCAGCATTGGAAAAGTAAATCTAGTATTTGCATAGAGTCAGATTCTTCTTTCCAGATATATTCAGCAAAGAAAAAGAAAGAAAAAAGAAGCCAACCCCCACCATTTCTTCATTCTAACAGGGCATTAGACAGACTCCTGTCTAATGTTATGCTTTTAGCCAAGATGGCCTTGCTGAGACTTCACAAAAGTCAGTTTTATCAGAGGAAATAACTGAAAGACAGAGTGATTAATATATAGTGTATAAAAGTTTAGAAGAGCAACTATTACCTGCTGTGGCTTTATTTGGTGGTGTTATTGTTGTTTATTCTTTGTTTAAATGGG